AACTTGGTGAGACCTCCACTCTACAGTAAATCAAAAAATTAGCTGGGCATAGCAGCGCATGCCTGTAGTTCCAGCTACTAGGAAGGGTGAGGTGAAGGATCACCTGAGCCCAGCAGGTCAAGGCTGTGGTCACCAGGAGTGTACCACTGCACTCCAGCCTGGGTGACAGAGTGAGACTCCAACTCAAAAAAAAAATTAAACAACACAAAGACAACATTTTCCTCACAGGTCAAGATGGCAACAACGATATCCAGTACTAATTAAGAAAACTGCTTTTAAAACAATAAGGTAGAAAGAATGAACTTAAGCATGACCTATCAGATCCTGCTTAAAGTGTTTCAGCTTCTCCTTAAACTGTATCTAAGTCACTAATAACAAAAAATAATAATGTGATGAATATTGCTGTTCACAAAATTCCTTAATAAGTTGGTTAAGGTCAATTTGTGTCTAGCTTCAAATGTATATATAACTTAAGTAAATGTTTACTGTGATGTAACTATTAACTAGAAGTTTTATTTTGTTTTAAGGGAAAACCTCATAAAAATCTAAACTGTTGGCTTTATATGAGGGGGGAACCCAAAAAACCCCCAGAATTTACTGATTTTAAATTGTGAATTTTTTTCTCCATGTTTAAATTTCAATCAACTTCGAAGTACTCGCTGTGTGATACAATGCACCGATCAAGATGCTTTTCCCACTACTCAAAACAGTTTTTGAACTCATCAATTTTGATGTCTTTTAGTGCTTCTGTCAGTTTTTTGTTTCACCTCTTCCACAGTGGTAAAGTATTTCCCTTTGGGAACTTTTCTATCCAAGGAAATAAAAAAAAAAATCAGGATGAGATCTGGTGAATAGGGAGGGTGAGGCACAGGGGTTATTAAGCTTTTGGTCAAAAACTGCTGAACACTCAGAGCAGTGTGGACTAGTGGCTCGTAAATCACCCATCATGAAATGGGCAAATGCATTGAAAGAATCTCTAAAGAAAACTCACTGAAGCCAAACATAGCCTCTCACAACAATGCTAGCTGGTATACTGATGCCAATGGGCTCCTAGAACATTCATCTAGTGGAGGAAGTCTGTACTACAAAGGGCTTGCCCTCCAAAATATAATTCTGGGTTTTTTTTTTGGCAGGGAGGGTCCTCCTTCATATAACATAACAATCCAATGATCTAAATTATATTATTTTAGAATCTACCTAACTCTTATAGTTCAGAAGAGATATTATAACCTATGTCTTGTCATTTGACCTTCTTATTTCTCACTCTGGAGACATAAGAAATAATTTCCAGGGGCCTAAGTAGATCAGGAGGGATTTCAAAGCCTCACAGAGCTTGTCAGGCAGTCATCAAATAGGACAGGACAGGAAACAAGTTCCAGTCATTTGGTCTCACCTGAAGCAAAACAAAACCACCCAGGAAACAGGTTCTCACAACACAGAAATGATTGAACAAAAGACAGACTCTTCCCCATCCCGTCAAGGTCCACTGCAACAGCCACTAGAGCAGCAGTTGTTACTGACAAAGTCTCAACCACTGACAGGTAATTTGATATTAATAAGAGTTATAAGTACAGAAGTTTACCGACACTTTGCTTTCTTTACATTATAGTCAATTAAATGTTATCTCTACAATAAGGTAATTTCCACTTGCAGTCCGATGGCTTACCAAGTGGGTGTGAAGTAACAGAATTATTGCTGGGAGGAAGGATAAAGTACATACTGCAGGCCGTGAGAGCCAACAGCAACACAGGCCAGCCTGTTCTCAATGTGTCTTCCCTGGCTATTCTAATTAGAGATCTCAAAAAAGCTTGGAAATTATGGTTTTGCAGTTACCTCCATTACAAAAAAATTTTCCTCTAGACAAATATTGAAAGCCTAAAAATTGTGCACTGCCATCTATTTTGCAAGAATGATGCTATTGTCATGTCAGGAATAATGACAACAAGTACAGCAACCAATCACAAGCAAGCAAAATGCTGATGTGAATGAAATTCAGGATCCTCTAAATAAATAATATTTAAAATAAGAAAGTCTCATCATTTTACATAGTTGTTTTTTGGGGTTTTTTTTAGTTGGAGTCTCACTCTGTTGCCCAGGCTGGAGTGCAGTGGCACACTCACGGCCACCCCAGTGTCAACCTGCTGGACTCTGAAAATCCTTCCACCTCAGTCTTCCAAGTAGCTGGAACTATAGGCGTGTGCTACCACACCCGGCCAATTTTTGATTTATTGAAGAGACGAGGTCTCGCCAAGTTGCCTGGACTGGTCTCAAACCTGCGGGCTTAGGCAATCCGCTCACCTCGGCCTCCAAAAGTGCTGGGATTACAGGCTGAGCCACCAAGCCCAGCCACTTTACTTATTGTTAATTTAATAATAAAATACGGTAATTTTTGTGTGTGCTTATTCCTTAACAGTACAAAAGAAACAAGGGCTCTAGTGTGGTCATAGTGAAAAAAAAAAGACTGTATGCTAAATATGCACTGTCAAAACAATGTGGCCTATTTTAAAACCAGTGTCACAGTACATTGAGTTCAGAGCAGTATATTATCAAAATTATAGAAAGTGATCCTACCACATACTGCATTTGGTATTAGTGAGACAGGATCTAGAAGTGTATACTCAAATTTGGGCATCAACTCCAACAGAGGGACTGAAACATTAGAATGCCCCCTCAGAGAAGAAGCCCAGGATGCAAGGGTCTAGAAATCATGCCATAGGAGCAAACAGTTGAGGGGCCGGGGGTAAAGAGTGTTTGGCATGGAAAAGATAGTAAGGATTACCCTATCCAAGGAGACTTACTCTATGTAGCTCCAGAGGGAAAAGCTAAGATCAATGAGTAAAAGTCATAAATAATTTTCTACTAACTGCTTTCTAAACATGCACACACTCCCACTTCGACAAGCAGTGAGCTCTGTGTCACAGGAGGCAATCAACTGAGACGTGTTCTTTTATACTCAGGATGGTGGGCCTGATGACCTTTAAGTTTCCCTCTAACTCTTTAATTCTGTGATTTTGAGAACTGAGATATCACTGCTGAATCTAAATAATCTACCGTCAATTAAAAAAACAAGTGACTTGAACACTGGGTTTTTCCAATTGTAGATATTTGTGGTCTCCATTCAGGAACTGGAAACTTTGCTCACCATACCAGGACCCAACCTTTGTTCTATTATCTTTTAGAGGCAAGATAAGGAATGTTTTGCTGCAATTATACATTCTTACCCTCATCTCTTGGGTGTAAACTTGCACAAAAAATTTCCAATTCCATTTCAACTTCACCCGTGACACACAGTTCCTGACCACAGAAAGAGTATGGCTGCAGGCTTATCCCCAAACAAGTTGTCTCTGTTTTCTTTCACTGTAAGTTAATGAAACTGAATTTCATAATTTCAAGCTATTCCAAGGGACTCAACACTCCATACATCATCTATTAAACTTATAAAAAGTTGCACAGTGAAAGACATCTGGAAAGTATAAACAATACAGCTTACATGGTCACATTCCACAGAACTAGAATTCTAATTTTAAAAATTAGAATGATCAAAAAAAATTCACAGGAGTAACCATGACTGATTGGTTTTTAACTGCTTCATCTCTCAGGGATGCTAAGATTATAGTCATTTTGTATTAATGGCAGTTTAGGCCTCAGAACTGACTCAAATACCCAAGTAGGCCAGTACCTACAGGAATACAACTTCTATTACTAAAATTTACTGAGTGCTGATCATCTGCCAGATGCTACATATAACAAGGGCTCTTTTCTATCAGTTCAACTAATCCTCCCCTGGAAAGTATGTACTATTATTATTATCCCAAGCAAATTGGGGCGAGTTTAAGCAATCTGAGCACCAAACACAAAATGAGGAGCCAGGGCTATCAGTGAAGTTGCCTGACTCCAAAGCCCATGCTCTATCTGATCCAGTGTTCTGCTCAACAATATGAAGCCCAAGGGCTGCATTCCAATGGTAGCCTGGGGGCAGACCTTGCCTCCCTGGGTACAAGTAGCCCCAAGCTACAGCATCACTTGAAACTGGTCTCACAGCAAGAGTGGTAGAAGAGGAAGGCACTGACTATGACGACTTACTTTATCTGTAACTAATAAAAATACACTAAAAGAGAAAGTGCCTCATCCAAGCAATAAAGTATAACTCTGAGTCGGTTAAACTTTCACTCCGGCATTCATTTCTGAAAGCAACGAATTCCAACAATCTCTGCTAGGAAAACTATTTAGTGGGACCATTGGCTGTTTTGGACATAAGCTGATAGCAAAGAAATTATCTTGCAATCTTCTATAAAAAGTGAAAATTCTTTGCAAAATCAGCAAATTTCAGCCTGTGGCAAAATACATGGATTCAGAGGTAACTTAATTGACTCTTTAGCCAAACACTACTTTATATCCCCAAAATTCAGAATTCCAGAACTGCCTGAACGCACGCTTGAGCCACCAAAACACATAAGCCTTCATGAGTTCACAGGAAATTACTGAGAAAAGGGGAGGAACTCTTGAAAGCCTACTTCTGTCATCATCAGCTATCCACTACTTCACCTAGGGAGTGCTGCCACAGACTTTTGAGAGCTGACACATAAGTGCGTGTTTGGGGGCAGAGAGCAGTCACTTGGACCAGGAGACCTATGTCTGAGTTCTTGCACTGTCCTTGATCAGTACGCATGTGCCAGCCAACTGTCTCGACCGTCACAATGCCTGCAGTTCCAGCCACAGGTGAGGATGGGTTATGGTGGATGGGATGCATTAGGTGGATTTTCCTCTTTGTTCCTCCACTATGGCTTTACCTATATTCTCACCCTACAGAGCTATCATTTTGTGAGGGGAAAGGCAGGGGAGGGAGAAGAAAGGGAATGAGATGGGAATTTAGGATTTCACCAACATAATCAGTCCTAAAGGGAGGGAAAGCGAGTCTACAATTGACAAGGAGGTCTGAAAGCACAGTCAGATGTCAGGGGCTTCTTGACAAGAGTTAGAAAGGCAGGACTCATGGTTACCTGACTGCTGAAGGACTCTTTCTTGGCCGAGCTCTGAGCCTGAGAGGGACCCTGGGCAGGTGACAATCTTGAGGGGCTCTTCTTACTCTGAGGCAGTAGCAAGGACAGGAAGCCCACGCGAGGTGAATGGGAGAGGGAGGTGTTCCTCTGGCTGCACACCATGGCTCTGGTCAAGAAGACATACCACAGAGTCACAGGACTGGAGCAGAACGTGGAAAAACCAGGAACACAGATCTCCTGGGCATTGGATGATATGCTAGTGACTGGGCCTCAGTCAAGTCCAGGAGCCTGGGCTTTAAGGTGGCATTATCCTTGGTACCATTTCCTGTACAAAGGGAGCCAACAGCTTATCTGTTACAATGGTGAAGTCCGCAGCTCTTGTTTGTGGACTATAGTAAAGTTCAGAGCTGTCTTGTCCAATAGCCACTGGCCACATATGCTACTAGGCACATGAAATGTGGTCAGTCCAAACTGAAATGTGATGGAGGTACAAAATACACACTGGAATTCAAAGGCTTAGTAAGAAAAAAAGTATAAAATAGTTCATTGATATTTGTTTGCATTCATTCCATGTTTAAATGACATTTTGAATACACTGGGCTAATAAAATATAGCATTAAAATTAACTTCACTTGTTTTGTTTTACTTTTTTAAATGTAGCCACTAAAAAAGTTTAAATTACATCTTTGAATCTTGAGGAGGGGACTCTCCTCTCTTTCTCACTCTAATTTTCTTCCTAAATAAACTGTATTTTCCAGACTAAAAAAAAAGACTTCGAAATAGTGGTTGTGCTTTATTTATCCAGGCTATGCACATCTGGATGTACAAATCCCTGACTGTGCAGTTCTACCCCCAACTCCCCTGCAGCTCTGGGCAGAGTCAGAGGCTCAGAGGTTGAGAACAACTCCTAGAGGACTTACAGGCCATGGAGACTTTACTCATAAAGGTCTGAAGCAAGAGGAGTGTGTGCCCAGGAGTTCTTTGGCAGGCACAGGGGGCCAGGGCAAGGTAGGGTCAGAAGAAACCCTGGGCTGAGAGCACAAAGGACAAAGGAGGAACACAGAGGTCACTGAATATACTCACAGTTCTGAGTCCCCCAGGCGGTCCATACTGGAAACATAGGGAGGCAATTTGTGTTGGACCAAGGCCTCTTCCTCTTCTGGCTGTTGCTCCTCTTTCTTCAGTCGGTGAATTTCAGCTTGCAATGCAAAAAGCTATGAAGGAGTGGGGCTGAGTTAGCCGGTGATCTCACCTAACCTTCCCCATACTGAGGAAGACTTCTAGACACATCATATCTGAACCCAAACTCAGTAGTTCAGAGTGCCACTTGCCCCAGCCTCAAAGAGCTCATCTCACTCTCTGTTCATTGTGGTTTGGAAAAATGCAAAAGTGAGAAAAACCAAAAACCATCAGAAATTCAAAAACCTACTTTTTTTGAACTGTTTGTTTTGTTTTGTTGAGTTGGAGTCTCACTCTGTTACCCAGGCTGGAGTGCCATGGAACACTCACAGCCACCCCAGTGTCAACTTGCTGGGCTCAGGCAATCCTTCCCCCTCAGCCTTCCAAGTAGCTGGAACTACAGGTGCACTGCCACACCCGGCTAATTTTTGATTTATTATACAGATGAGGTCTCGCCAAGTTACCCAGGCTGGTCTCAAACCCACGGGCTCAGGCAAACCACTCGCCTTGGCCTCCTAAAGTGCTGGAATTACAGGTTGAGACACCAAGCCCGGCCTTTTTTTCTTTTTTTTTTAATTTGACTTGCTTCTTCCTGAATTCTCTAAGAAAAATAGAGTCACCCAATCCTGCTTTGATCTTTGAAATCTACAAAATCAGGTTTTAGAATTCTCATGGAAAATATTTAATAATTTATAACATTTTTAGCCATTTGCCTAAAGAAAATTACATATACAAACACACCCTTTCAAAACTCAAGAATCCAAAACCCTAAAATCCTAAATAGCTTATAATCTTTCTTTTCCTGAAAATATCACTTACAGAACTCTTAATTTCAGGACAGAGAAATGCTCCTTACACAAAATGTAAAGGAAAATGTGGGTCCCCTGGCTCTATCATTTTTATCGAACTAGAGAAACATAGCTGAATAGGAAGAATTAAATTATAGCTGGGCTGTAAACAATATATACATGGCTGTAGGTAGAAAAAGCCTGGGAAGATAAAGTAGACATATGAAAACAGGTTAGTTGTAAGGTGGCATGGATACATACAATATTTTTCTCCTTAAAAGTTCATTACTTTTACTATATTGTTTATGCTATACATGTGACTTAAAATGTGAATCTTGCCTCTAGTTTTCAGAGATATTAGAGTCTCCAAATCACCAATACTGATATTCTGGTGACTTATTTTAAGCCAAGAATAGTTTGGTTTTCCTATATTTAATCAACCCTCCACTTCCACTACCTAATTTCACACACAAAAACAGAAGTACCTCCCCAGAAGCAAGCCTGTTCAGAACAAACCTTCTGACGCAGAATTTCATTTTCTTCTTGAACCTGGTTGGTCCTCTGACACTCTGCATCAAAGTTCAGGATCACAGGCACTGGTGCACAAAGTTAAAGAACAAGCCTGCCTGCAAAACATGTAAAAGTCCTTCCCAAACTCTTGACACAACAGCAGAACACATGAAAACACATGAGACACAGAGAACAGAGTACAGGACTGGTGCTGTGGGGTCTTACCAGCTTTATGAAATAGTCTTTCTCTTGTCTCCTGGTCTGTTACTCTAGGTCTAGCCTGATTTAGACATACTCACAGACACATGACCATCTGCCTGGCCAGCCCACAGAGAAAACATAAATCCAAACCTGAATATTTTCCCCAAAATACCAGTAGTAAAGCCCTAGTCCCCAGCTGGCTTCATAGCCAGTCTAAACTTTAGGGAGGTCAATACAAACATTCAGCTAAAAGCAGCCCTGGAGGTCCGTGGCTCCATAAACACATGGCCAGTGAGGCAGAAAAATCAGCCTCTTGGTTTCCCCTCCCCAGACTGAACCTCTCTCCGGCAAAGGTTGAGACTGAGAAGAAAAAGCTTTCTGCAGATTGTATGGCTACACACCACTCTAAGAACATCCACATTCTAGCTTAGGGTTTTGGTCTTTCCCACTGCCTCAGACAGCTTCAGTCAGGAGGAGAAAACAGCAGATGGGGGTCTCAATACTGGGGAAGCCAACTGAAGCTTACATGTACATGACCTAGTTTGAGGGGCATTGAAAATCTCTCGAGTGAGTTTCAATTTTCCTGACATGGTCATGCCATAACCACACTGCTAATTTCACTGGAAAGTCCTCGGGATAAAGAGAGGCAACAAAGGGGAGAAAAAAGGCAGCTCTGGCAAGGGCAGAATTCACACCCGTCCGCAACACAGAAAGAGCAAAGGCGGGAAAGGAGCCTTTCCCATTTCCATCAGAAAGTGTTCTTATGAGTCTAAGCTTTAGGAAGGTCAGTACAGACATTCAGCTAAAAGCAACCTCCCGTGGAACTAAAACACCTCTTAATGCCCAAATTTATCAGTGCCAGGCAGCCCCATCCAAACCAGACTCCCTTCTCTTCCCCTAGATTTCCAGTCTGGAGAGCATGAACAGCATATACCCCAGGATCTCAGATTTTCCAAGACAAAAATGTGTATTTTTGTACATTCTGGTAGGCTTTAAATTATTTACCTACATCCTCATTATTCTGTCTCTCAAATAGCCACATATATATTCTTAAACCTACTTTGTTTTCTGGCAACTTGAGGAACACTGAGATTACTATTAGAGACAGTAACCCAAACACCAATGCATGCAGCAAGTTCCAACCCAAGAAGTATTCTCATCTACTGCCTAATCCCAGCAAAAACAAGTGACATCCCTGATGATACAATTTCATGCATAAGAGAGGGTACTTTTGAGACTGCCTGGATGCTCCACAAAGCTGCTGCCTTCCAGCCTCTGTGCCTGCCTACAGACTTTAGTATTAGCACCCAGCTGCTGCCGCCATCCCCACCCATGCCAGTCAGCTATTACTTCAGCAGCACAGTGTTAGAACTGAGGTTTATGAATCCCTGGCCTACTGACAAAAGCAATCACAATTTGTCCAGCCTCCTTCTGTGGTCCCTCTCAATGATCCTTGGGCATTTTGTAGAAGAAATGGCTGTATCCTGAACAGCCAGTTACTGATCACACGGTCTGAGGATGATCTGAAGGTGAGGTCTAAAGATGCTTCTGGCTGGGCCCAGAGCCCCAGGCAGCTGAAAGGATATGCATGCACTGAAACAGGACGCTCAGGAAGTTGTGCAGGGACACAATAAAGGTGTCAGCCCACTGTCGAGAAAAGTAGGTAGCAAAGGTGGGGTTGGTGTCTGGTGATGGCAGGAAGGGCAAGACAAACCAATCTTTCCACTCGGCCTGGTTCTGGAGTTCCGTGGCCTGTTTTGCAAAGAACTCCTGAGCCTTGTCATTTCTGTTTGTCTGATAAGACACAAGGAGGTAGCAAGGACAGGGAAAAGACAGAAGTTCAGAGGTAAGATTCTTCATCACTGTACAGCAGACAGCCTTTGTCTTGCCATGTAAGAGGCAAAACAGGATTTACAAATTCCATAATATAAAGAAAATCATCACTCTTTTCTCAAAGACCTTGTATTTCAAAGCTGGTTTAAATTGAAGTTCTAGTGATAAATGCCATTCTAAAAATTAATCCCTACTTTATGTGCAAATAATTCAATGACTTATTCCTGCAGGTTAGCTATAATCTTTACTACTCAAACTAACTCAGTTACTTATATTCTTTAAAACACTACCTCTGTTTTAAGCTTACATGCTTAAAACAAGAGAGGAAATAGGAATGAGGAAGACAAGTCAGATGATCCACTGATGAGAAGGAAAAAAAAATCATGATGAGAAAAAAAAAAGAGTCGGAAAACAGGCAAAAATAACTTGCACTATGATTGTTCCACTCTTTTCCATAGTAAGGCACAGAATCCTCCGGGGCTAAAAGAAACGCTATTTCTGGATCAAAGAGCTCTTTCCACCAAGGGAAACAAAACCCCTGAATCAACAAGCACCTGGATTGTGTAGACTAGATAAAAGCGCAACAGGCTGGTTTTCAACTTGTTGATGGTGGGTCTATATATATCCTCCAAGCGGCTAAAGAGTCGACGCTCCAGGTAGCTCCAATAATCCCGAAGGGCAGCCAAGTCATACACCTGCATTAACTGCTGCAGCTGGTCCACAATTTTGTCCACCTGTTGAGAGAAAGATAATACAGTAGATGGTAAAGAACAGAAGGGAATTCTCTATGGCCAGGATGGCAAGGAGGTCATGGTTCCTTTTGTCATGGTTTCTGGATGTTAAAATACTTTTTTTAAAGTTAGCAATCTATAAAATTTTCAAACCATATTAATGTAACAGCTTTTAAGTTATTTTCTGATGTTAGATATGTAGTTTGACCCTCTTGAAATTTCAGGTGTAATTCTTCACCTGAAATTTCAGGTATAATTCTTCAGGTTTTGGATCTGCTTCTGACTTACTTGACACATTTTGCAACGTCACTTCAACTGTGGTCTCAGTTGCCTCACAGAGTATAAGACTGTCTCCATGGGCCTCCTCCCAGTTCCACAATTCCAGGATTCCAAGGATCACAAGGAGATGCACTGACTCCTTCCACATCATCAAAGTTCCACCAAAGCCCTGGTAGCTGCTCAGAATGTCAGCCAAATAAGTCGCCTCCTTATAAGGAGCAATTACACCAGAGTTCACAATTTGGAAAAGGGTTTGGATACCAATAACAATCCAACCCCCCTATATTACGGATCAGGCCACTGAAGCCAGAGAAGATAAACGATTCGCTTTTGCCACTAAGTAGCCACTAACTTTGACAAGAAACCAGATCTAACTCCTCTCCAGTGCTCTTGCTACTAGCTCACTGCCTTTCTCATTGAAGTCAGCATAAACATACAAACCCAACACCTTTAAAGAGAAAATCATGTCAGCGCAAGGGAAGTTTGTGTTGTAAAACGTGCAACGAGGTCTTCCTCAACTGCAGAAACAAAATTGCCAATGAGTTCGTGGCAAGTCCGTTTCAAACAAACGCCGCAGATACTCGAACCTAGCTAACGTTACGGCCTGCAGACCCCTTTGCTCTCACTGCCATCGGAAGCCAACCCTTCAATGTATGTTACCCAAGCTCAACCAACTACCTAACTTCGGCCTCTAAGACCTCCTCGCCATCCTGGCCGAGGACTGGCCTGCAAGGAGGCTGGAAGGCTGGGGTGGAGAACAGAGCCCTGGACCAGGAGTGGGGGCATCTGGGCTCCAGCCTCGGCGACGCGCCTGACTTGCAGGGCAACTCCAGACGAATCACGTCCGTCCGAGGGCCTCAGTTCCTCATCTGGCCCGCGAAGCGGCGCGCGGCTGTCTCCGGTCCCGCCCGCGCGAGTGACAGCGCCGCTCCCACCCGAGGGCGGTGCTGGGGAAAACCCGCTCCCCGGCTCCTCGGGCCACCTCCGCCAGCGCCGCGCCCGCCGGCCGCTCACCCGGAACCCCTTCTCCTTGTCCGCCTTGATCTCGGCGTCCAGCTGCCGCAACGTGTGCGTGAAGCCGCGGAAGAGCAGGTATTCGCGGACCAGCTCGTCGGTACGCTCCACGGCCTCCGCCATCGCTGCGCCAGCGCCCCGAGAGGCCGCGCGGCGCGGACGGAGGGGCGGGGCGGGGGGGGGGGGGGCGGGATGGGATGGGGCGGGGCCGGGCGCGGGGCTACGTCACCCGGCCG